CAAAAAAAACACAAAAAAATTTTATATATAAAAAAAAACAGGTATAAGAGTAAATAATAAAAGATACAAAATAAAAAATAAAAAAGAGAAAAGAAATAAATGAGAAAAAAAGAAAGCATGAAACTTACAATTTACAAAAAATCAAACAGTCATGATTTTAAGTCTGTATCAGATATAAAACTTGTAATTCACAAATATCAGACAGTCATAATTATAAGCCTGTATCAAACTTGTAAAAATTATAAACTATACTAATAAAAATTATTCTATTATCTTCTTATTTACTTAGATTATTTAAACAAAAAACCAAAAAGAAGAAAAAAACTTTGACTTTATTATAAAGGATCAGAATAGAATACTGGTTAGTTCAGATGCAGTGTTTGACAGGTTTTTAGTAGTTTGAGGCATATGTATAGTCATTTTTGTATTACTGTATTGTTTCTGATCTACATTGTCAACAATTCAGTTTAGGAAGTAAACACTATTTATTGTTTTTGTGATTTTATATATCAATTTTTAAAAGAGGATAAACTGAATCACCTACTTTTATAAAATTTTCTTTGAAAAAAATAGAAGTGCTAGGTGAACCAACTTTTAATTTTGTAAGTTTTAAGCCCTTGTGGGTGTTTTTTGTAGGTTTTACAGTTGTATAAAACTAATATATCCAACTTTGTTGTTTATTTAATAAGACATCTTGACTTTCATCAACTACTTTTTTTATAGTCTTAGAGTGCTCTTTAACTATTACTACAAGGTTGTAACTCTTTTTCAACTCTATTTTAATATACAACAATGCATGTATAGTATTCCAGAGAGGTTTTCATAAAGTTTAATATATTAATTATATCATTTTACTATAGTTCAGCTTTTTGAAAAGTTTGGTTCAAGTGTTTATTAGAAAGAATAATAATATTATCTAATTTAACTACTAAATATACATATTTTTAAATATATTATACTTATGCTTTTGTAAACTTTTAAATTATTTATATATTTACTTAAATATATTCTTTTCTATTAATTAAACAATTTATAAAATTAATATTTAATTTATTTTATAAATTAAATATAATATATTATTAAACTATATATTAAATATTCAAATCTAAATGAGCTTTGACCATTTTAGTAGATTTAGGTTACAAATAAATTAATTTGTGTTTTTTTTGGTATATAATTTTTAATTTATTTGTTTTATACAATAGTAATAATTGTATAGTTAGAAGTTTAATAATTAGCTTTAATTGCAATGTTGATATCAACCATAGCATATATTTATATACTTGTATTAAATTACTAATAAAGATATAGACAAGGCCTTACCTTAACATCAATATATATATATATATATATATATATATATATTATGCTTTGTGGTTGTTATTTTTATAAGACCAATTTTATTATATAAAAGTCTAAAAAATATAAAATTAAACTATTTAGATATAAAATTTTGAAAAAATAACAAATTTTTTAAAAAACTAGTAATTTATATTAGTATTTAAATTTTAAAAATTTTAATATATTAAAATAATAATTATACTAATTAGTACTAGTAATATTTGATGCTATATATATTTTTAATAATTTTACTGATAAAATTAAATGCAAAACAAGTTTTTTAAAGATACTAAACATTTTTGTTTAAACAATTAGAATTAATAACTTGGCTAATTTTCGGATATAACATTTGTAACGCACTACTAGTGTGATTTGATAAAATCATAAAACATTATCGAAATATCGAAATTATATTGTTTACTCAATCCGACTTTTAACATAAAAATTGCAATAAAATGTTTGTTAAAAATTTTGGATACTTAAAATAAAAAAAATTATAAACACTAAACAATCTTAAAACACTGTATATCAAGAAAATAAAATCATCATTTATAATTTGCAAATATTTATGTAATAGTTATTACACTTTTAACATAGATATCATGAAACTTCACGGGTAACGCGAAATATTATGCATGATATTGAGAATGTTTAATGATGTCGACGACAAATACGTGTAATAACTGATTTATTACGCGGGTCCTAACTCCCATGACTTTATAATTGTTATTTTCACAGGAACTTTCACGCCAAAATAAACTTTTTTTACCTTTAAGATACCTTTCTTTTTTACATTCCATGTATATTGCTTACTAACAAAAATTTCCCTAATGCTCTAAAAACTGACAAAAAAGAAAGTCCACCGTGAAAATATCAGTAAAAAAAAGTCATAGGAAAATGATTAGGAGTCGTGTAATAATATGTAAAATATTTATCAAAATTAGTCGTAAATTTAGAAAAGTTAACTATTTAGCATAATATATGTATATTAATTATTAATACACATTTTTGTAAAGATCTGTTAATATATTTTTTTTAAAAAATTATATTAAGAAAATCGGATACAAATATGCCGTACAAAAGATCATTTTTTTGAAATCACGCAAGTTAACATTAAAAAACAGGGTGTATTTTTTGTTCATAGTTGACAAATTTTAAGATCCCTTAAATTTTTTTTTGGAGATGAAAATATGTTATCACTTAAATTCTTTTAATCCCTGTCCCCAAGCATATCCCAAGTATAATTCGAGTATATCCCAAGAATAATTCGAGCATATCCCAGACATATTACAAACATATTCAAGACATATATAAAACATTAATACAAAGATATTTCAAACATATCTCAAACATATTCCAAACATATCCCAAACATAACTCAATAATATCCACAAATTAAAGAGTCTTTGTCCATATGACGATTGTTTACATTTACGAAAAAATATTTTTAAACGCATTAAAATTTGTATGTTTTTTTTAAATATTTACTTATAAACATTAAGTATTAAAAGTAATTTATTGTTTATTATAATCACATAAAAAGCAAATACATAAATAATAAAGTAATAATAATGAATAAAGTAAAGATTATACATACATACGAAAAAGTAAATTGATACTAAATATGATCGGAAGTAAATCCAATAATGATTTAAGTTAGAGATTTATTTGATATTTTAGGATATTTCCATATTTCATTTATCACAAAAAAAAAAAGAAGAAAATCATGGCTTTATTCCGTTTATTCCAATTAGTATATAGAAATAGAACAACAAGTGTGACACATATTAATATATTAATCTTAGAACAGGTAAAGAAGATTCGGCATTTGAATAGGATAGGAAAGTAGGAAAAAGTTATTTATAAATTAGTATAAATTAATTTACTATGATTTGTTCTCGCAATTTCTTAGAAATGCGAATAGGAAAAACTCAGGTTTAGATTATGCCATAAGTTTTTGCGATATTTTAGTTAGATGATTAAAAAAAAAAAAAAAATCGAAAAGAAAAAAAAAAGTGTGCAGTTCTTGTTTGATTAAAACACTTTAAATCAACTGTCCAATAAAAATGAATAATCTTGGATAAGTAACCCAATCAAGAACGATTAATTCAAGGTAATCTATAATCTAAAGCAATTAATATACAGTTACTTATGTAGCACGATAATTCGCGCGTGCATTACATATAAACTTATGAAGACGAATATTCACAAGAGTACAATAAGTGCATACGTATAAATACATATACGTAGGTAGGGTATTGATGCATATTGTACGATGCATAAAATAATTTTAATGGCAAGTGTGTTACAAGATAAAGTTATCGTCATATAACGTATATCAATGATTTTAAGTTATAATAGACTGATGTGTATGTTTGTGGCGTAATTAGGTTAAAAGCAAATACGTAAAATTATAAACAATTTTGATTAAAAAAATTTTTCCTTCTTTAAATGTTATTCAATATATTAATAATATCAACAATATCGATAATATCAACAATATCGATAATATCAATAACATCAAATATATCACAATATTTCGAGTTAATTCTTGTACAAAGATTTTGTAGATAATACGACCGGTAGTGGTTAAAATAGTACATCCGGAATTACACGGACGCCCTGACAGATAGATATATATTAGAACTAGGTATCTAGGTATCATTCATTGTATGAATAATGTATGAAACTTAAATATGTAAATATGTATGTAAATAAAGAATATAATAAGCATGTAGGTACCCCTGTATTGTGATAAGGTTTATGTATATATGCTGTATGCAATTTACCGTAGTTCATATTAATAAATATGCGTAAATCATAATTGTAATCATAATTGTATAACCGAATTAAGTATTGATATATGCATAAAAAGAAAAACAACTAAAACATAAAAATTTACCGAATGAATAAAGAATAAATAACATAAACCGAATATTAAGTAAACTTAAAAAAAAGTAATAAGTAGGGGATCGTTTCGACAGATGACAAAATTTAATAAATTAAGGGGTACAATGACACAAAATAAAGCATTTTTTGACATAAACAGAATTGTAAAACGCCTGAAATATATGCAAACAAAGCCACCAACATTTAATTAAAGCGAAGGATCTAGATTCTTTGTTTCCTGACTGGTAACAGAAATGTAAATAAGCGAAAATCCAAACATCAAGAAAATCATAAACAAAAAAGATGTAGTAAGGACGCGTTTAATTGTTTATTAATTGGTTCTTTTGACACGTAATTTTTTTTCAATTTAATTTAATTGCTGTGTGGCTATTCATTATAAAAGTATATCATACGTACGTACATACGTACATATATTTGGTGAAACATGACCAAACGATTGTATTCAATAATCTATTACGTATGATAAATTGATTTTCGAATACAAATGAGTTGATATATACTAATGAATATGAAATATCGCGTCGCGTTTATCAAATAAATATTTTTAACCGTTTTTTTTTAAAAAAACATCTTTTAAACCATTTTTTAAAGATTTTTTTAATTAAAATATTTTAATTAAAACATTTTAATGTAGAAATTTTATTCTTGAAGTAAATCATGCAAATATTCCGATAATGAACTTGTGCTTAATAAAGTATATGTAAGGATTGTACAAAAATGGTTAATACAATAAGATTTTAATTAATGACATGCAAATTGAAATGTCATGGGAAAATTTTTACATTGAAAAAGAAAACTTTAATGAGCAAATCGAAATTACAGAGGTCTGTATGAGTCATCGAGTAATTATTAATTTGTACACAATAGAGGATAATTTCGTTCAACAAAACCTAGAGAAATACTCCCACAGATGCCTCTCTTTTGAGTTCAGAAGCAAGGTAACCAAACTAATCATGGGGACAATCACAATCTATAAACATATCTGTAATCAAGACATTTCATTTCACACTTGATGCAGGATGAAAAAGTTTGTCAAAGACACTGACTAGTAAGACACCGGTTGTACACGCCACTGGTGTGGCTAAGTAAATCATTAGCCACAAATATCAAATATCAAATACGCTGTTATATGCAGGATTTGCATTGTGTATATGTATTATGTAAATACGTAATAAGTGCGTATGTACTTACTTACTAGTACCTATAGAAATTTTCTTCGGCTATTTTTGGAGTGGAAAATAAGCGGGTAACATATATTCAATTCCAATATTCTTAAAAGATACATGTGCATAGTACCAATGAGCTACGTACGTACGTACCCAAGTAGATACTTGCGTAGATATTTACCAAATCTGACATGTGAAAATCAACCTCTACGATAAATAATTATAACCCGGTTTTGAACTCAAAAAAGAAAAAACACTTTTTAATTTTCTTGGAAAATGAGAACATAATTAGAACATAATTAGATCGCGATACAAGATAGTAGACATATAAGTTTGTATTTTGTATAAACAAATACAAAACAATTAATTTATTTACCCGATCATCGTTACTTGTAAGTGTTCTCTATAAAGACATATCGGGTATGATCTACAATTTTTTTCCATCTCTTTTTTATGCGAGAATTGCTAAGAACTGCCAAGAACACGCGAATAGTTCTTAGTAAATAAATGTAAATATTGGATTAAACAAACATAAAGATTGGATTAAACAAAATGCAAAAGATTGGATCAAGCAAAATGCAAAGATTGGATCAAATAAATGCAAAGATAGATTATATAAAATGTAAAGATTAGATTAAAAGATAAAAGACATATTAGTTTATACAAACAAATTTTTGTGTATCATTACGATGCCAAATTGCAAACGAAATTATATTAAAAATGGTATTTATTATTGAATACAATATAGAGATATAACCAGTAAAGTTTATTAATTGTTTAAAATACGCGTGTGAATTAATTAGAAGCAGGCGCGTCTTTTAATTTAAAAATTAAAATTAAGTAAGATTTTAATAGATTTAATAGAGATTTAATAAATTTTAATAATTTACGTTAACAATTCATATAAATTGTTAAAAATGGTAATTTTTAATGTTAAACAACCCCTTATGGAATTTTTAATATATAGAGCACGTTTATTTTGATCCTCATCAAGTACGAGGCATAAGTGCGGGGCACGTGAATATAATATTTCATTATATGCTAGCTGTATGTGGGATCTCAGGATCCCTACCGATATTAAATGAAATCCTTGCTTGAATTTAACTTTATAAGGTATTATTAACAACGCCAATGGCTTAATGTTTTATAATGTTAAAATTATTATAGAAAAAATTACCATTTTGCAGGTTGTCTTGTGTCACTTATTGTTATGCTTTAAATTTTAAAATTTTAAATGCAATTTTAAATGAAATTTTAAATGAAATTTTAAAGTCTTACATTTAAACATTTAAGATTTTGTTAATAATTAAAATTTAGGCCCGAATGTAAAAATAGAATATCCGGATTCAAACTTTAATATTAACAAGTCAGGAGGTATTAGTCCCTTACTTAATTATGTGGCTAAATACGCATATAATAAATCAGTGTCCTATCAAAATTGCAATAAATGTCATAAGACTCTAAGGGGTACAGTATGCGTATAAAGCTTGTGACTCAGGAATTTTCTCGAGGATTTCTAAACTTAATAAAGTTTTATGTATGATGAGATTTGTATTCGCATCAAGAGTAACAAGATTTTCAAATTTGTAATAATCTTTGTCATTAAAAATATACTAGATACACAAAAAAAAAAAAAAGTAAAAAGAAATCATTTTGAATAAGCCAAATTTCCTTAATCTACGTACAAGTTCATATAAATACCTAAGTACGTACGTAAATATTAAACCATAAATATAAATTAAAGTTGTAACAAACAAGATTCGGAGAAAAATTCAAAAATGTCAGCTTTTAATATTAGTGGAAAGTTTGTTGAAGCGCCTAAAATGGTTATGGTTTATTTTTTTTTTTTTGAAATGATGTACAAAGAACCAATAACATTTTTATTTACACATGAATGGAAAATAAATATACAATTATAGTATAAAACAAGAGAGTGTGTTATTTCTTAATAAACTTGGGTCTCGAACTAATATTTACTGTATTACGACACACTCAATTGCAGGACCCCTCTATTTGGGTTGATTTAATTACCAGAAAACATTTAGAAACTTATTATATTCTAAAAATCGATTTCTTTTCACGAAAAATGTCATTTCATGTATTCCTCAAATTTGAGATTTAATACTTCTTAAAACAATTTGTTTATTTGTTCATGCGCATGCTTATACATTTACAAAATATATACTTTCATCTCGCTTTATTTGACATCAAGTCAAAAAAAGTAATCCAACCTCTTTTTTCTATTGTTAATAAATACCGAATTTACAATAAAAGTTACAATAAAAGTTACATCAAATTTCGCGATAATTTCAATAATTTTTTTATGGAATACTTATCCATTTTAAGGTAAGTACTAAATCATACTAGAAAATTATTTTCCATAATTTAACAATAAAAAAAAAAGTCGTATGATCAACTCTACCAAACATTCCAGCCATTGTTTTTCCACACTACATAATATGAATTACCATAATAATGATAGTATTACATGATGTTAGGAAAAAAGGAATAGAGTATATTTAAATTAATTACTCTAATTATCGTTATTGTGATGAACCCTTCCTTCTACATACTTGCGTATGTATGTATTTAAGTTTAATAATGATGTTATTACTTTATTTCAATAAAAAAAGTTTTTTTTCATAAATATTGTAAAATTAAATGCATTTCAAAAATAAAAGTGTACATGCATTCATGCATTCATGCATAATAAAAAAAAAAACATTAAACTAAAGAAAGTGTTAAATGAACGTATTAAATGCATGTAAATATGTACCAAGGGTCGTAAAGATGCATCACATTTAATATACGCCTCTCATTAATAATACGCCCATCAAAAGAATTTAACGATCTAATGTCAACCTTCCAATCATGTTTATTGCTTTGTTTTCGTGGTAATAGTCAACAACCAGTAACTTTGTTCTATATAGTCAAAATGGCTATTTGCCAATTTGCCAAAAACAAATAATAATAGATCGACTAAAAATAATTGCAAATTAGCATTAGTAAGAAAATTTTGAGCGAGCTTTTGGTGACAAAAAAAATTTTTTATTCTTGGTATTTCAATTAAAAATATCAAAGGGACAAGTTAATTTAAAATAAAATTTGGGTTTCATATTACTATATTGCTATGTTACCATATTGCTATATTGCTATATTGCTATATTGCCATGTTACTATATTGCTATATTACTATATTACTATATACTATATATGTAAATAGGTAATTTCCGATAATCAGAAAAAATTAACTTGTATCTATCACACAAGAGACTTAATAATCATATTAATATTTCAAAAAATAGTTGATACGTTTTATTGGTGTTTGTAAAATTAAAAATTGATCTAAATTTATCCAACCTTTGAAACATAAAGACATTAACTCCAGAAAAACAAACAATTTATTACCCAAATTCATTGAGTTCCTAAAGTTTCCAAATAAAAAAAAAAAACTAAAATTCAGATTTGTCAAAAAGAAATATTAATTAGTCGCAATAATTATAATAATAAAATACACAATATATGCGATGAATAAAATATACATCAATAAATATACATAGATGAAATCACCTTTTAAACCACTAAGCATCACAAATTCAAATTGAAAATATTAGTGACATTTTGATTTATGCAAGCCAATAAATAAAAAAAATAAATACATAACGATATTAATATTTAATAAATAAATAATAATGATAAATAATAATGTTATAAATAAATATTGTTATAAATAAATCGTGTTATAAATAATTATACGTAGTTTACATTTCATATTATAAATTTTGAAACACGAGGATACCACGTTTACCACACCACCTGTTGATTTACATAAAGATCTTCCTTATCAGATGGTTTTTTTTTGATCGTGTCCTCCAATTATAATAAAATATATTAAAAAAGTTTATTCGTTTGGTTACGTAAAATTAATATTAATTTAATAAACAAATATTTAAAAATCATTTGACATCAATAAATTTTTATTACATTTACCTATTTGTCTTTTTTTGTCTAATCTTTTTGTTAAAAAATTTTCTTCAATAAACCAATCTTGTATTGGAGACCGGTCTAGACAAATTAAATAATAATATCGTCAATTACATTATAAGCAATACTGGTAATGGTTGTGAAAAGTATTACTATATCATTGTATTACTATGTAAATTAATAATTTTTTAATGCACTGCTGTATTACTGTATAAAAAAACTTCTTTATTGTCCGGAGCGAAGCGGAGAACTTTAATGGTGAAATTCCGGTGATATCTTATTGATTGGCCAATTAAATTGTTACGGATCTTCGGAAATGAAGCCCAGAATATGATCATATGCTCCGGACTTTAATGTTTGCATCCTTCTGGTTATTGAAATAATGAAAATTTTGATTAAGTAATGGATTAGTATGCAAAAGTTACATTTTTGACGCGATTAAGGTCACTACATATGCTAATATGATGTACTTATTGGTTTTTATGATGCTGGTACTTGTGATCAAAATTACACAACCTTATGAGTGCTATCGAAAAGAAATCGGAATTCCCGAGTTTCCAAGTTTTCACTTTACCACTATCTAGATGCTTTAATTATACATAACCAGTGTTTGATCTAACATAATCATATGTATGTACGTATGTTATTTGTCATTGATAGTGTTACCCCTGTTGATCATACTACCCCTGCTTAGTCATTTTATCACGTTTATGGATCAAGCCTCACGTGCAACTCGGATGATTGACCTTTATTCAAAAATATCTCATATATATTTCCTCCTTCAATAGATTG